ATTTTACTAAGACCTCTTACAGTTTGTGTATAGTTGCCTTCACACTGATTTTTTTTAAAATAGCAGTGATTTAGTTATTTCTAACATGTAGTTTGGGGAACAAAAAACGCTTTTCTTTGAATAAAATAAGCAAAGCAGGAATATTTTGATCAAAAGTACAGCTATACAGTAGTTTGCCCTCAAGAAATACATTAATCATATTTTTCCAACATTGCAACACATACAGTTACAGAGAATATTTAGATATACTGTACTTGCAGTCCTAAACTTACCCAGTTTGTTCAAAAATCAAGGTAACATATAATACATCTGGTAACTAAAATCTTATAACATGGTTTTCAACTCAGTGTAGATACTTCTGTATATATATATTTTCTTTTTTCTTTTTGTATTGAGTTACTAATGTATCCTAAAATATTTTAATCTTCTCTGTCTTAAGGCCGCATCACACTAGACAACTTATGACAAGTTATGAACGTTTAAAAGACATGAAGATGGAATTAAAAAAAATCAACATGAATCTTCTTTTTGGCGTGTACATAATGTAATTTGAACAAATTGATCAAATATATAACTTTTATTAGCAATTTAGACATAAAAAGGTTTCATAAGTTGTCTAGTGTGACAGGACCTTTAGGTTAACTCCACCAGTACCTTCCTGGTTAACAGCACATAGCGGTCATCAGGGCTGCTGTAGACCAGTCATAGATCTGCCTGTTTGCTGTGGGACATATTTTACACCAGATGCTCTTCCTCATGTAACCCTCACCAGTTATCTGGGCTGTGGACCAGTACCAGAAGGACATAGAAAGTGCACGTCTGACATCTGGCCTGGAATATTTTAAAACTGAAAGATTAGGTGATTTGGAAGTTAATTTGGTTGTTTTTTAACAAGAACAACTGTGCATTCTGTTGACCCTTTACCTATACAAGTGCTTCCTACAAAACTTCCCATTTTATCTACTGTATGTCTGTTAAAGRAAGCCAGGCCTAAACTGTCTGCTCTGATTCTGGATAAAGACAGATTAAAGACAGGTGTTTAAGGATAACAAGAGGATAAAGGCAGGATGGACGATTGTAGATACAGAGTGAAGAGGATTTTTACAGCTTAGGAGGAAGTGTCAAACAAAAAAACTAACTTGTGATAAAGTAGTAACAAAGCTGATGAACACACCAAGTGAGTTTTCCATCTGAACATCTCAACAATCTGTTGTTTTTTTTAAAATAAACTGCCGCTAASAGGATTAATAAAGTCTCCGGTTCAACTCAGAACAGAATGAAAATCTAAAAATACTCCCACAGATGTTTACAYCAAAAGATCAATGATTCGCTAATATCGCTGTCAATCAAAAGGGATTCAGCCTCAGACAGATCATCCAATCATCRTGCAGAAGCTGAGTGTCCGGGCCAGCCGAGGCCAGCCCACTGYCCSATAGACCCCCAGAGACACTGAGCRTCCGATGGGCGGGACAAAGCCAGCATTTATCCAATGACTCGTCTCGTTTCGCTGCASTCTTTACTTCACTATTGAACTTAAAGCTCTGTGAAGCTGCAGGAATGAGGGAGAGGAAAGCTGCATCGYTAYCAGTGATAAGAAGCWGATYCTGAACAAAAGTTGAGYGTGTTGWAGCRCAYATTTAGTCAATGACATGAACACACAACAGTGTATATTTGATCACTTATTTTTTGAAACTTTAGAGGAAGCTAAGCTTCCCTTGCAGTCCTAAAGCACTCGCCTCTGGTTTCAATTACATGTTTACATGTTCAGGTATTAAAATTGCCTCCGGTAAATTGCTGACCTCAGTTCAGTGAAACTATTTATTTTATCCTCAGGAAAAAAAAATCCAGGAAAAACTCTGCAGTCATTGATATAATATACAGTATACTGTAACATGCATTTTCATATAAAAGTATATACTTTATTGATATAAAGTTCAAGTGCATATTTCCTGTAGTTGGTTCGGTTCGAGATCGGACTGTATTCACACCAGAGTTTGTTTGGAAGCGGACCAAGACCATCTCAGAAATGGGTCTTGGTCCTGTTGTTTGGTCCTCACCAGGGTTCATGAGTGTATTCACATCTGCATAAAAGGTCCGGACCAATGGGAGAAACAAACTCTGGTTCGTTGAAAGCGGACCAAATGTGTCAGGTGTGAATACACCCTTAGTCAAAGAGAAACTCCATGGGAGAAGTTCWGGTAAAAGCACTCCCTTTGTTCCCCGTCAGAACATGTCACCTGCAAACAGCTAAGGCAGTGTTGGCAAAGTGGTTGTTAATCTTTAATTAAAAAAAGAATGCATTGGAGGAAAAATATCTAGTACCTGTTCTTAACCAAATATGTGACATTTTGTAAACGTGTTACAGAGAGGCTAGAAGAAAAAGACAATGTCTGKCTTTAGTCACAGTTCTGTGGTTCAGTAGAAAAGGACAGGGAAACAAATGTCAAATGCTAGGTTATCATTAAGAACATATTAAAAATTTTCCATATTTATGCAGATAACATCAATAGAAGATGTTTCTTCTTCTGTTAGATATCTGGCATTTTTGCTTTGTATGGCCCTGCCTCTTATTCTACCCTGGCCCTGGTTGTGTTTGCTTTGAGCAGAGTGCAGCTTCAATGWGGGCTTCATTGTATTTGTGACACAACTGTGATGATTTTGCAGGGACTGACCCAGGGCGCAGRCAAGAACCATGGTGCAAAAGGATTTATTTTAAATAAACAAAAAGGCTGGCAGGGCAGCACAAAAACKTACAGGTCTTCAGAAGRATCACAGAGAGATCACTCAGACGAGGAACACAACACAATGAACCGACACAAGAYTKASACAGGACAGGGCTTAAATTCACTGAAAACTAATGAATGAACAGAAAACACTTGGGGAGAAACACGAGGGTGAYAATCAGGGTAATGTGGGGCAGCTGAGCTGAGACACACAGGGGAACAGAAACACTAGGAAAACCAAGGAAAATGAATAYAGATAATGACAACAATGGATGACATCAAACTCATGGTACTTCTCATTTTCTATATAATTCAAGACCAGATGAGTGAGACAATGTCAAATCCAAAACGTTCTCACCCCTGACTCGTCAACATATTGATGCTTGGTCAGGTACCATCTGTGTCCAGTTTTGGACGCGTCGGTTACCCCCCCTCACATCAGTTATTCATGCCCACGGCTTTTTGGGGGTTGTGCCACATATGGGTCTTTGAGTTGAGGTTTTGTGGTTAATATAAGGGATCAGGATTACTGGTTAGTTAGGTACTGAGGTGAAGGATAGTTTGTAAAGGGCTAATAGAAGTTAAATTTAGGGTCTGGTTGTCACACATTGTCACACATTTCCTTCTCTGTTCAAAAATATGACAACGCGCTCCACCTTCTTCGTCTCATTTTGTTAATAACTGACGCGAGGGAGGTACCCAACACATCCCAAACTGGACACAGACAGTTACCTGACCAAGCATGAATATGTGACGAGTTGGGTGTGAGAATGGGTTGTCAAATCAGACTCACCTTCAAACCCAGCCTGGGCTGGGGTGGGCAGGGTCATACAATGCAAAAGTGACAGTAGATATTTGAACATATTTTAAATCTGCTGTCAGTATTTTTATGTCCTCTTAGCCAAACAACTATGCAGACCATCAAGCCTTAAACACTATTATTTCTCCTACAGGACTTTCACCATGACACAGTTTTACCAATACAGTCAGGGCAGAGTGGAGCAGGGTGACCAGAACACAGGAGCCAATAATAAAGGTGAGTGAATACTTTATTTACAGGTGCTAGAGTGGAACAGGAAGCCAAATCTGCAAAGGTGGGAAGAGTCCAGGTCAGTCCAGATATAAAATAATTACTTTAAGATAGCTTAGATAAAGAATGTCTTAATTCTTTTCTTACAGGTTCCGTTGGAAGATTTGCATGGAGGAGTGTGAGATCCAACAGGTAAGAGTTTTCTTCAGACAGAGTGGCCTGATCTCAGAGGTTCTTGGTGATTGACTGGTTCCTTGGTGCAGGTCTCCTTGGGATGATAGTCCTTCTATAGGTGAACTCAGTGGGCAACCAGAGCAAGATGTGTCATGGCATAAACCTTGGTGAGAACAAGTGGACACAGAGGTAAGTACTCARCASAATAATCAYAACTGAGTGGCTGTAGTTTTCAGTACCCAACAGGCATGATGCATCAGTGAAGAACAGACTGCAGAGGGGAACTCTTAAAGTCCAGGATCTCATCGGGGGAGTCAGCCACAGGCTGAACCACCAAGCAGGRGTGAGAAAACCACCAATCACCACATGCACCACTGTTTTTACTACATCAACCTCACACTTATAGCTGTCTCCTGTTTCTTCTGTCCCTGTAGATGAAGTCTGAAGCTGTGATTCCTCCTTCATGTTTGTGCATTACTTAAAGGGATGGACAGAAAAGCTGACAGCTCAGTTTAGCTCAGACTCCAGATGGTGATGTCAAGTTTAGAGGTAAACAGGTCACAAGGATGCAGACTCATGCAAGGACTTGATTAAAAGAAAGACATTATAAATAAAACAAACAGCATGATGTGACTGCTCCAGGAGGTTTTTCTGTTTTATTTTTCAAATTCATGAGGATCACAGAGAAAAGGAATGGCTGACTAATGAGAAACAGCAAACCAAGGGTGAGATGCAAGACGTCACCAGTTGCAGAGATGATTTAAAAAAAGTTGCAGAGACTGAAGTCCACAACATTAGTATTTTTTCTCATGCCTTCATTTGTTGTCTTTCACAGATAGGTGATTGAAGTAGTCTTGACTGAAGACAGCAGGAACGTCCTGTTGCTCACCATATTATGTCTGTCAGGGCAGTGAGGAGGTCACGTGACTGAAAACTATCTGTGGATAGAAGTTTCAACAATTTAAATGTGTTCCAGATGGATATGCTGTAACTCAAAGTACATTACAACATTGGTTGTGCTGGAATCCAAACAATAAACTATCTTTTTCAGCCATCCTCCCTGCTCCCAGATTACACTGACTTCCTCTTCCTTGTAAGTCTTATTACTGTAGTCTCAGAGCACACTACCACCGCCATTTGAGCAGCTGTGGTAGAGTGGTTAGGGGAGTTGTCCTGGAACCGGAAGGCCACCGATTCGATTCCCCCGACCACCCGCCTCAGTCGTTGTGTCMTTGGGCAAGACACTTCACCCACCTTGCCTACTGATGGTGGTCAGAGGGTCCGGTGGCACCGGTGCATGGCAGCCCCACCTCTGTCAGTGTGCCCCAGGGCAGCTGTGGCTGTAGCTTACTGCCATCAGTGTGTGAATGTGTGTGTGAAAGGGTGAATGTCTGTTAGTGTAAAGTGCTTTGGGGTCCGGAGGGACTTGATAAAGTGCTCTATAAGTTCAGTCCATTTACCATTTACCATATCAGGATGAAAGGATCACAGTTAAACAATATAAAGACGATGTTTATACAATATACTATATCACATTTTTCAATATAATATCATGTATATACATTATACTATCACATTTGTACAAAATAAGCATATTGCACAAACGTGATAGTGTTCAGAAATGTATTTTCCTCCATGACAAATATGCTCTGTAGAAAATGAGAAACTACCCATTTTAGTTAATTTATTTCAAAGAGCAGTTGTGAAAAGTTGTTATATTAGTATCATCTAATATCAGTGTAAGTGCATGTGTTTAATATAGAGGTTATGAGGTCACAAAACAGCATTTCCAACAGCCCAGTTCAGTAGCTGCTAAAGCTCAGCTTTTCACCAGCCCTGAATGCAGCATCACACATGCAGCTCCTGCAGTGGTAAAAATGTCTCAAAATTGCTCTCAATTCTTGTTGAATTTCAATCAATTTCTCTCGCTCTCTCCTTWATGAGACTAATTTATCTTCATAATAAAGAGTTAATGTGCAAAAGGAGAGAAGGAAACACATTTGCTGAATAAGTTCTGACACAGCGAACATTTACCTGGATCACCTGTTCTCACCGTCTAAAAATTGWATGGACTGTGGCTGCAGCTGGACCCTCCTCCTGCTGTCGCCTCCATATTCCCAGTTAGGGTTAGGGTTATTCCCAGAACGTGAAGAGAACTGTGTTGAAAAGAGTCAGCCGAGGTGGTTCAGGCACCTGATAAGGGACTTCTCCTGGACTGCTCCTTTCTGAGGTTTTCTGGCCACTTTCCTCTTGGACGAGACCCTGAGGTAGACCCAGACCTGGGAACCCTTTCGGACCCACAGGAAGGAGCTGTTGCTGGATGTTTCAAGTTCCTGACCCTGTCCCCACTATCAGACTATGTAAGCATTAGAAGATAAATGAATAAAAGTTTCTACCTATTTTTACTATTCAAGAGACATTTACATTTCTGTGTGTATTTTTCTGCTTTGAGAGAACTGAATTCTTAGCTGGCAGTGTTTTTGTCCTGCCTTACCTGTTAAATTATCAATTTGCACAAACATATTTTCATTATGTCAGTGTGATGTGCTCRTTATAGTTTGATTGATTGTCTTGACATTTGAACAAAGTCTGCAGGCAGGAAAGAGCTGCTGAGTTCGAATCTATGAAAGCAGTGTCTAGGAAATATTAATTTCTTTTAACTTGGGAATATTGGAGTTAACTTAATTAGGTCTGGACTGTGGTCTCTGTCTTTGCCTTCACTGCAGGTGCAGAGGTATGCATGTGTCAGTGATGAATGTGTTGCAGATGGCTGAAGCATGGTGTAATTATGCTGTGGACACTGAAGGAAGTCCCGTACGGAGGTCACTCAGGATAAGCACACATGCAAGAAAAAATGAGAACAGGCAGGCTAGAACTAGCCTGTTTTATAAAATCTATTTCTACTTTTATCAGTTTTCAGAAACAGAAACAAGTCAACATGACCCACAGATAAACCGTAGCATGTTTTTAACAGACACCAACACACGTATACACACTTTGAACTAAGAAAGAAACATTCATTATTAGGTACACAAAATCTAAACATCTTCACATTGTCAAAGTCATACAAAACAACAGTTTTAAATGTCAAACAACAAAGSTTCAAGAGAAATATCTGTTTTAATTTCCTTAACAATAAAAACACCTAAATATAAAAAGCCATGTTTGTAATGAAGGGGATTATTTCAAAGTCTTTAACCATTTGGGCTTGTTGATGTCACCTGACAGAACGGTGGTCCTTYGTGCCTACAACTGTTGGCTCCTGTGAGCACAGTAGGCATTTTTGGTTCCAGTGATAAATAAGTGACACAATGCAATGTGATTGGCTCATGCTGTACATACAGTAAGTAATCATTGTTTGGCCAAGCAAATGAACCTTCTACCAACACATACACTTTTAAACCAGACATAACATCCTTTTAAATCCTTTTTCACATTTAAATCATTTTGAGGTTTAAATAAAGTAGAACTTCAAGACTTTGGTCTCAAATACTTGGTATTATAATTCCACAAGCCCCTCTTTTGCCTCTGTTCTGAGGGGCATCTGAGAGTAACGTTTGTCTGCGGTCACTGCAAATGAGGAGCTTCACATCCCGACCCCCCCCCCCAGCTGGCAGAACGGTCCACTCCTCTCTGTTCAGACAGTTTTGTTGTTTGATAGCAGAGATATGACTATATAACTGTGCAGAAATTTACAAATATATTATAAATGTCAACAAGGAAAAACTTTCCACCTAGCCTTACATGTTGGATCCAGAGTCYGACCCAGAACCAGAGGAGRATGAAGACCACCAAATGAAGTTAAGATGCTAACTTAGGTTCGGGAGAAGGACCACGCCTCTCACCTGCAGCTAATCAGTCAGCATCTATTTAAACTCGCCTCATCTGGCATCTGCCCTTAGCTCGCCGTCTCGACACGCATTCTAACTGCACCAGTGTCATCAGAAAGAAAAGAAAAGAAAAGAACAGGAAGAAAAGAGTTTTCAACTCACCATGGACGTCCTCTTCTTGGATCTCGATTCCTCCGATTCGGACAATCCCCTTTTCAGCTTTCAACCACCCCACGAAGCTTCGCCACCTTCTGTTCTCAGGCAGATCCCTCGCCATGTCCGGTCACAGCCCTTCTCCCTGCACCTGTCCTCCACCCCACCCACACCAACACCAGCGCCTCCACCCTCTGCCGCTCCTCAGTCCGAGCCCCACGGCCGCGGGCTCCACCGGTGCTCCAATCGACCTCTTCATCAGGTCGTYTCACCCCTGTCGTTTCTGTACCTTCTCTTTCTTTACCCTCCTCATCCCAACCCTCCCACGTTGACCCAGTTGTTCAATCCCAGGCCAGTCAGGCCTCACTCATCCCCTCTGTTCATTCATCCCTTCATCCCTGTCTCTCCCTCCCCCACACATCTTTTTCTCAACCCATTTCCGCTCCCCTCCCTTTTTCCAGTGAGCACATTTAAGCTCCTCATCCACCTCCTTCATCCCTACCTTTACTATCTGCAGCCCTGGCTCAATGACCGGCCATCTCGGCATCCCCTTTTCTACATATTGCTCCTTCATTTCTCCCCTTATGCTTCCCCAATCCCCTTCTCCCAACACCCCATGTTCCTTCCCATCACTCTAACCACTACTCTCTATCCACAGCAGCACCCCCTCCCCCCCAACCTTGACTCACCCCTCCCCAGTTTCCCCTGCTCTGCGCCATCAGATTCTAAATGGTAATTATGTTGACTTAGCTTTACTCCTTCAGCCCTCCCTCAGCCACTCCGGCCTGCCCCGCGAGCTGCTAACCAGCCCGGGGCCCATGCAACTAGGCCACCCCTCAGTCTCCCGTTCCAAGGAACTCATCCCAGCCGAGTTCGCTTTGGCCTTCTCACTCTTTAGGGACACAAGTTGTTCCCTTTTTCCCGACCGCCGTTCAGAGCTCGATGATTATCTTTCCATCGTGCTCGATATGGCAAGTACTATGTCCTTTTCGCCACTCAGGCAGCAGGTCGGTTAGCCCAGTTTAACCAGAGGACCTTTTGTGGCGCTCTGGACTCAAGAGCTCTATTGCTGCATCTTCGCCGCTCGAGCTTCCCTTACATGCAGTCTCTGTGGTGCTCCTTCTCACCCCRCCACCGCCTGCACTTCCATCATGCCCCTCCGTTCTCGGCTCTGTGCCGCCCATGGTCCTTCTGTTTTTGAACACTTGTCT